TTTTTTTTGTGTGTGTGTGTGTGTGTGTGTAAACGGAACCTTACGGCTCCAGCTCCTTATCTATTCTGGGGAGCATCAGTCCGGCTCCTTACACCTCAATTGTTTCAATCATTAGCAAACAGGAATATCAATCACTGTAGGTTCATCAGCATACAAAGATGTACATTTTGTGGAAGTTGTGGTTACCCATTACGCTCTCTCTACTTTTGATAATGGGTTTAATAATCATCAGTATCGACTCTACTAAAGAGTCTATAGACGGATACCGTCATCTTCGTTTCTCTATTTTTCTTTATGACCTTTGTTTACAGCATCTGCGACCGTGGATGTCCTCGCTTGCTTGTCGCCTCTCTTACCTCTTTCTCACTGAAGCTTGATGAAATCGTTCTCGTAAGTCTGCCGTATAATTTTTTTATTTTTTTTTAAGAATACACAGAGGAAGCACACTAATACCGAAAATAGAGCTGAAATGAAAATCAATTCTAATTACCGTCTCTCCCCAAGTCTGCCGTATAATTGTACGTAGGCAGTCTCTTGGAAGAGTGGAGAGGCAGAGAAAAAGGAGAGCTTTGTTGTGAGAGTAGTGTAGTATGCACTGTGCAGTACTATGCGCAGATTACCCATGGCGTGGCAGGGTCAAGGATATTGGGTCAACCAAGCCTGTCTCTATGATGCAGTTCTGCTGTGAAAATGCTCCAAAACTTGTAGTAGTGTGTGTCCCACCGCTGATCCAGTCGCAAGGCTAATGGATGGTGCGACGTATCCGTGATGAAGCTTATTATATCGGGGTTGGTTACGGTTTGTTGGAGAAAAGAAATAAAGATTATTGTGTTGTTGCCACTTGTTGGCTGTGAAGCTATGGTGAAAATAAAGTAGCTGCATTGCATTCAGAGGCTGATTGACATACGGTTATGGCTTTGCGGACTTGTACTGGACTGGAACTAGTGCCTTCATTGCCACTACGATCCACAGTGCAGCTATTGAATTATCAGAAGCGAAGGAGGGAGGAGAAAGCAATCCGGAGAAACGTCCTGCAGAGGATGGAGATATCTATTTGGCTTTTAATGCTCATAATCACTCTGTTGACGTCACCCTGCCGGAACCTCCCGAGGGAAGTGAGTGGTAAGTGTGACCCAGCCGGGGCGGCAATCGGCCTTTTTTTTTTTTTTTTTTTTTTTTTAAACGCCCTCTGCAGTGCTAGTGGCGCTGATGAAGCAGACACCACTAGCACCCGGGGAGGGGCTCCATCTATTGGTGGGGAGCATTTTGTCAGTTTTCATTATTGGCAATCATAAACAATGCATATATTCAGATAATTATCCCTCCCTTGCTCATCATTGCAGACTCTGCAGAGGCATATAAGCCTACACCTATGTGTGTGTGTGTGTGTGTGTGTGTGTGTGTGTGTGTGTGTGTGTGTGTGTGTGTGTGTGTGTGTGTGTGGAGGCTTGCATGGGGGTGATTGTGAGGAAATGAGAAAGGGGGTAATGACAAGGAAGCTGATTATGATGTCAGATGTACAATGGGACACTGGACCCGCTTCCCAGCAGGTGCTGCTCCCCACCAATAAGACCGGAGCACCCAGGTCTCTTGCTAGGAGGGGTTGCTCTTATCCCCTCTCTTAG